TAAAAATACTAAAGTTAGATTCATAATAAAATTCTGAAATCTAGATCAAAAAGATAATTTTTGAACCAAATTTGTAATAAAATTTAAAATTTAGGTTAAAAATTGTAAATTTTGGATCAAATTTGTAATAATATTTAAAATCTGGATAAAAAATATAATTTCTAAAAGTTGGATGATTTTTTTACCGAATAAAATGATTAAATTGAATATGATTATTGATTTTTAAGATTTAATTAAATAAAAAAATATAAGAATTAAGCTAATGTTAAAAAAAGTTATTCCTATGTCCAAAACACCTTAAAATCAATTAATCATGAAACTATTTATAGGAAGATACCGTTGAAAAATGGATAGTTAAAAAGCGTTGGTGAGAAAGGAGTATGAAAAGGGTAATGGAAAGTACTTGAGGAAGTGGATCAGTACCCAATTTTCCCCGATTGATGTCTTTTTTGTCAAATTTAAGAAAATTCGCATATACCGATCCTACCCATACATACATTCAAATTACTCACTTCAACGCCCCTGTTGATCGAAGGAAACGAACAACACATCATACTTCCTAGTTCCTACCTCCAACACAATTTTTTCTGGGGTTTTCACCTCACCCTAAACCCCATGGATTGTCCCTTCCTTCGCCGTCAATCCAGAATATGATCGATCGTACGTTGCAATCTCTTCCACGTCACCTACTCCGTGTGTGTGTCATCCCCTCTTAATCTCGAACCCTAGATAAACTATCTGAAATCAGCGTCTTCTTTTTCATCTTATGATGCTCCAGTTTCAGTCAATTATAACTAAATATATATTGGGTAATTACTAGTTTATCTCGTACCAATAATTTTGTGAATTCTTGAACGGTGGTGTAATATCGTATCTGAGCCTGGAATTTAGGAATTGTGTCCTGTAAAGGATGAGTAGGTCCAGAAAGTCAATTCGTCAGTGCGGCCGGGATGGTGGTAGTGGGATAGGCGGTATTGCCGCCTCTGATGAAGGGTTACCGGAGATTGGGGTGGTTACGAAGCTTAGGTCAAAGCCCCATCAGTTCTATAGCCGAATATTGCCCAGAAAGTCAGAAGGAATGCCTGTTTCCCCAGTTAAAATGTTGGCAGGTCGAGAGGGTAATTACTCCGGGAGAAGTAGATTCACGTCTGCAGATCGTTGTCACCTCTCGAGCAGATATTTGCCAGTTAATGGTCCTTCTGTGATCGATAGAATGACAAGTTGTGCTTATGTCTCACAGTTTTCAGCAGATGGGACTCTTTTTGTTGCAGGATTTCAAGTACGTTATGCAATCATCTCCAATGGAACCCTACTGTTTCTTCTTTCGATGTCGTAATAATAATTGCTATTTTCCCCATGTACAGGATAGTGATATTAAGATATACAATGTGGACAATGATTGGAAAGTTAAAAAAAACATCCGTGCCAGAAGCTTAAGGTGGACAATAACAGATACATCTCTTTCACCTGACCAACGTTTTCTTGTAAGTCTCTGCAAACACTGAAACTTAGAAACAACCTATAAATTCAGGACATATAGTAAGGATGTTTTCTTGCTAATTGATGCTCATGGTCTGTTCTCTGTATTATGATTTTTCTTTGATTTTCAAGAACATGAATTGGTGTTCCAGTTTCATTCTCACTGACATTCTTATTCTTGCAGGTTTATTCCAGTATGTCCCCTATTGTCCATATTGTGAACATTGGATCAGCTATGACCGAGTCTGTTGCAAATGTGACTGTATGTATTTGCAACAATCTTTTTTTTTTTGCTTACCACAACTTCTGTTTGTTGAAGTGTTGAGTTGAAGTGTTGTCTGTATGCAGGAAATACATGAAGGTCTGGATTTCTCTGGTCATGATGATGATGAGGAAGATGATAACTCATTTGGGATTTTCTCTGTAAAATTTTCAACTGATGGGCGGGAGCTTGTAGCTGCAAGTAGTGATGATTCAATATATGTTTATGATCTTGCAGCCAACAAGTTAAATGTTCGCATACCAGCACACAGGGTATGAATTATAAAATATGCATTTCATATCACAAATATTATTATTCATACTCTTAAAGGCTCTACAAAGAATCAAGTTAAAGTTGATCCTCTTGAAGAATTGGGCTTCTTTTCTGTTTTGATGGTTTATAGCATGTTTACCTTGCAGTCCGATGTTAATGCTGTTTGCTTTGCTGATGAAGCTGGTCATGTTTTATATTCTGGGAGTGATGATCACCTTTGTAAGGTAAATTCCTCTAGTTTTGGCATATGTATGTATGTATGTATGTATGTATGTATGTATGTATGTATGTGTATATCTAAGTATGTTGTAGTTTAGGTATGGGATAGAAGATGCCTTGGGACAAGAGGAGTAGAATCTGGTGTTCTGACTGGACATCTTGAAGGCATTACATTCATTGATAGTCACGGAGATGGTCATTATTTGATTTCAAATGGAAAAGATCAGGCTATTAAACTTTGGGATATCAGGAAAATGTCCTCAAATGCACGCAGGTATATACATATATGCCTTCTTTCTGTCTATCCTATTTATGAGTAATAGCATTTGATATACACGTGTTGAAAAATAGCAATATGTTTTCTTTATATGCAGCAATATCAGTATCGCCCCTCCTAGACACATTGAGTGGGATTATAGATGGATGGAATATCCATCACATTTAAGAAACAGAAAACATCCAAATGATTTATCAGTGTGTACATATAGAGGTCACAGAGTCTTGCGAACACTCATAAGATGCTATTTCTCACCATCATACAGGTATGCTTTTTATTTAGTTACCAGATTATTAGATTATTATTGAATGATTGATTAAAGTTAATATATATAAAGTTTGTAATATAATTGTAATCTGTTGGCAGCACTGGGCAAAAGTATATATACACTGGATCTGCTGATGCGCACATTTATATTTATGATATGGTAAGTTGATTTTGAGTATATATGTTGAATTACATGGTAAGAGTTGTATATTGATGTATTTAAGAACACTTTTGAATTAATTAGGTGAGTGGAGCTCAGGTAGCAAAGCTGAAATACCATGACCAAATTGTAAGAGATTGCAGTTGGCATCCATTTGATCCGATGATTGGCAGCTCATCATGGGATGGGGTCATTGCCAGCTGGGAATTGAAGCGGAATTGAGTGGTGGTTCATTTTTTTTTTTAAAAAAAAATGTTATTTAAAATAAAGTGTCTCATGTGCATATACCATAATAGTTGTGTGTGTGTGTGTGTGTCACCACCTCTACACAGTTAGTCATGTATTTTATACTGTAAGCTTGTTAGAATCTTTGCATGCTTTTTGGATTTGGAAATTCTTTCTTTTGGACAAACATTTATGTACATTTTAGCTGAACATTTTCGTATGTATGTTGTGGTATTTCAGCCCAGTTTGGTTTCTATATATAAAATAAACCAATTCGAACGTAAAAGTTTGGTTATCCTGTAAACCAAAGTCCAAAGTCGAGCCAAATTGGGAATATCAATTAAGATTTAAGTTGAGCTGAGCTGCTTGAGGTATAAAACTAGTAAGCCTTATAGAACTTGTGAGGGGATTTACCTTTTTATTCTATTTTCCATGTATAAATACATAATTTACAATTAGTCATAATATACCATAGAATCGATTTACCCTTTTATTCTGTTTTCCATGTATAAATACATAATTTATAATTAGTCATACTATACTCAATAGAATCAAACTAACTCATTTATAGTCGTGTATAAAATCATATGAAATTATTGTATAAAATCATATGAAATTATCAATAATTTTCTTTTACGAGTTGGGTAACGTGGAATAAAACTTACATGGGTTGGTAGGAAGAAATTTTCCGTGGCTTATCAAATTCGATATCAAAATAAATCATGATCCAGACTATGTTCTTGGTCTTTTGTTTGCATTATTACTTTCTATTTGAAATCTTATCGTTTTTTAAAGTGCTTAAACCTTACACCCCGCTTCCGAGTTGTAGCAAAGAAAAGAAGAGAAGAGAAAAGAAACTAAGGAGAGAAAAGAAGAGAAAAGAAGAGAAAAGAAAGGAAAAAGAAATTATCATTTGTGCTCCGGAGTTGGAGTGAAATGGAAGGAAAGTTAAACATTTTGTTCTTTCTTTTCAAATCCTTCCAAATCGGAAGGAAAGTTAGGAGGGAAAGTTTTCCTTCCATTTCCTTCCACTTCCTTCCTTTAATGAAACTCGGGAGAGCACCATTCTCTCTTACTTTCCCCTCATAAAAAAAACTTCATAATACTTTAAAATAATATGATTTTGCCTAGATGACAAAAAAAACCCTAAAATATGAGATTTACTCTTGATAATAAAATAAGAAGTGCTTGTCATCAGATTATGTGAAGGGACGATGTACAAATAATATATTGAAGTTGATCAACTCTCAAACATAGAACATTTGGATTTCCATTCATCATTATGCACATAGTTTTTTGAAGACCACACCAAAAATAAACCGATAACTCCCAAGAGCTCTAATCGATAAAGATTTTGTTTACACAACATCTGGATTTCCATTCATCATTATGTACACACAATCTTTTTGGATTTCCATTCATCATTATGTACACACAATCTTTTTGAAGATCACATGCAAAAATGAATTGATAACTCTCAAAAGCTCTAATCCATAAAGAATGTTTTTGTACACACAAATGAATCGAATCGGAAAATATTGGATTTTTTTTTTTTTTTGAACGGCAAATCTATTTTACTTCTACACTACTCCTGATTCTTCACCTATGTTCCTCACGAGACTTGAACCCTCGACCTCAAGGAAAGAGAACAACACCGGATACCGCTGGACTGGAAAGTATTGGATTTATGGTATTTGTTTTCCATATTGATTGACACGTGTGGCCAAGAAAACGACACAAAATTTATTGATATAGCCACGTAATCAATGTCACCGGGTGATCACTTTATTTATAAGATAATAACTTTAATGAAGGCTTTTTGAAATACAATGAGTGCATAATATTCAAAAAGATAATTACATGAACAAATAAGATCAAAACTGATAGTTTATGGTTACGGTGTGGCGAACAGGTGAAAAAAACTGACATTTTTTTTTTTTCACAAAAGATTGAGTTGGTTATATCATCTACTTTATTGGACTATAAACACATTTTATTTTTATTATTTTTGTTGTTGTTTTGGGCTTTTGGCAATAAGTTAGGGTTTATATACGGTCGGATCAGCAGATGCATGGTAAGCAATGAGGGCACAAGCGTTGAGAATTGAGATGCTGGTGTTGTGGCTGACGATCATGGTGCGGCGTCTTACGAAGAGGAAATCGACTTATTTCCTGGAATTGCGTCGGCGAGAGTTACTCCCTTTTAAAAGGTTAAGATCCTGATTCTTAAGGCACAAAACCAGTGCTAGTAGAAATGAAAGCGCTTGAACTGTTTCCGGACTGTGTAAACCCCTCTGGATTCAAATCCTGGAATTTCAAGTTCTAGAAAACCTTCCATAGATGTAGTTATATACGATGAATTCGACAGCTCTTTTAGAATTGGTAGGTTTGAATTCTGTATTTTGCCACTTACCGCATTCTGGGTGCGGATCTGATTGCATTTTCATACTAAAAGTAAGAAACATATGAAGAAGAAGGATTAGGAGAAGCCGTTGATGGTTTCATTGTGATTTCGAATTCGGTGACTTTTGTCATCAACAATTGATGTTTTCATGGGGTAGCTCATAATGAATGTAACATATACATAGGGTTTTCAGGGTTTGCAGATTTCCAAATCTTATTGCTTTCACTTGTAATTATCCTCTTAAGAGGTGAGAAGTTTCTATTTAGAAAACAGTGCTTTTGCTTGTTTCTCTCTCTTCATTTTTAGTCCTAATTTAAGATAAGATGTTATCTGACTTAAATGCATGTTATGAAGAAGAGTTCCATTTGCTTTGTATATAGGATATCATCATCATTTTGTGTTTTTAACATCAAAGAGGTGGTTTTGCTTTCAAGTAAGTTTCTATTTAGGTATTTGTATTATTAGTTGATAACAATAATTATATTATCTAGTATAAGGACTTGATAGAAAGTGTTAAATGTGCTCATTCCGTCAATTGTTTCCTATTCAACTTGGGTTAAGTAGGTATGCTATCCAGGTGGTTTGATATGAGATGGAGGTTTAGTTCTTTATGGTGATTATTATGAGATGTCATGTGATAATTCAATGAAATTAGATAGGAAACTTAAGTGTGGAGTCTTGAATTGTAAAATTGATTATGGTGGTAGTAATTTGGGGCGTGTAGTAAAATCATTAAATGTTAAGTTCAAGAAATCGAGGGTTTGTTTTGGAATTAGAACGGACATTGTGGCCATAGGTGAGTGGTTCGAATCACGGGAAGAACCTCTTCATGTTTCACACAAAGATTTCTTGAAAAGTGAAGGACCCTTGGTGCAACGTGTCACTCTGTGATTGGTTGTGATGACAAGGCCTTGAAAGGAGTTGTTTGGTATCGGTATACAACATGAAATGTGAGGGCTTTAAACTACTTAGCAATTTGAGAAACAGAGAAAGATTCATGGAGAAGGAGAAGGAGAAGCAATTCAATGTGGGAGATTTGGTTTGGGTGAAAGTTAATTGTTACCCTTGGTGGCCTAGCATCATTTACGATGAAGCCCTAACAAGTAGTCACGTTCAACAAGCAAAGAAAGAAGGTTTGATGCTTGTTTCATTTTTTGGCGATAATTCCTATAACTGGTTAGATCCAAAGAAACTCCTTCATTTTGAATCGAATTTTAGCCTGTATTCAAATCGATCTAGTTCTCGTTTATTCTTGAAAGCCCTGAATGAAGCAGTTTACGAGATCAATCACAGAGCTGCTCTAGGATTGACTTGTCCTTGCCAATTTTTTTCATCCTATAGACCTGCATTTGTAAAAGGTTTTCTAGAAGTTGATATTGATGGATATAGCACCGGAGGGGTTTATTCAGTTCAACAGATTAAAGGGTTCAGACAAGAATTCAAATCACTTCAAACGCTTTCATTTATCCAGCAATTGGCTTTGGATCCCACAAATGTGCATCAGGATCCTAGCATTTCAAAGGAGGTAGCTAGAGTTCTTGCTTTTCGTAAAGCAAAATATGCAGAGGTTGATGAACCTTATTTTCTTGCATTTGGGGTGCATCCTCAACGACTGGTGGATCCTAGCATCACCTCAAATCAACAGGAGACAGCTTTACTTCAAGGTATTATTGCTAATAATCATGCCATCAGTTGCTTTTAGTGATTGAATCATAGTAAGATGTGGCCTACATTAAACTTAAAGCATGTTTCATCATTTTTAATAACTTTAAAATGAGTTTATGTTTTTCTGGGCTCTGCAACCCTTACTGTTTGATTGTTATAATTTGCAGCTCCAGCTGATGATGAGAAAAAGCCTACAGTCAAACTCCAAAAGAAAAAGAAAAGACGCCTTGCAACCCCAAAACCAAATGCTACTAAAACAAGTCACAAGGTGAAAAGGAATCTGCATCATGATTCTCAAGATGATGTTTCCGAGAAGAAGAGACAGGTGAAGGTTGAGATTATTAATAAAAATCTGGATATCATTTCCACCACCACCAGTGATGATAAGCAGCAAGATGAACCTCAACCTCAACCTCAACCTGAGGCCACAACCACAACCACAACCACAATCACAACCACAACCACAACCACAACCACAAAATGTGTGCCATTGAAGAAGAGGCAGAGAAGGAGATCAGTCAGCAGTATAGGGGGTCCGAAATTGGCTTTGGTGTTATCTTCTGAAAGAGAAAGAAAGAAGGAAGAGAAGAGTGGCATTAGCATAGTAGAAAAGGGGCCGAAAATGGTCCTATCAATGAAGTTCCCTCCGGATTCTGCCCTACCATCAGTTTCAGAACTGAAAGCCAAGTTTGCTAAATTTGGGCCAATGGACTTATCAGGTGTTCGTGTCAGTTATCTCAAAGCAAGATGCCAGGTGGTCTTTATGAACAAGTCTGATGCTCAGAAAGCCTACGAGCATGTGGTCAAGTTCAAGAATATGTTTGGTCAAACTCATGTCTCCTACAGATTACATCCTTTTGCCAACAGCATAAAAGAAGGCAGCAAGGAAACTGCTCCTGTCATCTCTTCACATATGCAGCAGCAGGTGAATCAAGAAACAACGTATGCAAACAAGTATCAGAAAGCAGCAGCAGGAGCAGAGGTGAGCCAAGGAAGTGTTGACATTTCTGAGAAGATGATATATCTGCTTAATGAATGCAGCCGTATTGTGTTTGAACATGAAGCAATTTTAGCTACTCAAAAACTTTTGGATCTAAATTAACAAAGGTTTATGTGGTTTATTTAGTCTTCAAGATATGACGTTAGTAATAGTAAATAACTAAATACTCATCTTTTAATATGTATGGGAATCCGTGATTGATGATTATAGCTAGCTTGGCTGTTTAATGAAACAAATGTTAATTCACCAAATTACTTCTCTATAGAAGAAGCTGGTTTTAAGTTATCACTTTAAATTACATTTGTATATTTAAGACTACCAAGCATCTTTCATGTTTTGATGCTTCGTTTCAATTATTCGAAACAATATGAAGATATAAAAAAAAGTTTGCATAATGAGCTCCACTAGATATCATTATACTTGTAACTTACTCTAATCTGGCTATGGTAACTTAAAAACCTAAGTTACATAAACCCTTCTTAATTAATATAATAGTTAAAGAAGTTCTTAATGTATTTTCTTAGTCAAATTTATAAATCAATGAAACGTATAATTTGTGAAATTCAACTAGCATTAAGGTTTAATAGTCATCAAATTCAAAAGGAAATCAAAATCATTTCATTACCATTTTGGAGAAAACAATTTCATGACTTAAGAGAAATGAGCATAAACACATAAATCATTTGTTACACCCATAAAATTCAAGTCAATTTAAAACTTTTTAGAACATTTAAAACCATTAAGTTATCACAGTCTGTTTTCAAAATAGTTTAATCATCAGAGTATCCCCAGAATCAAATAATAAAATCATAAACTTTGAGGAGTTGTACGATCACGCATTTGCTTTGCCAGGATCCCCTGATACACCTGAAACAATAAACTGAAACTGTAAGCCCGAAAGCTTAGTGACTTCCCCCAAAATACCCATACCTACAACAATACACACATAATCATAAACAACATACTAAGGGTCCAATCTGTTGGATTAGTGTCTAAGTCCATAACTATTTTGGTATGTACTTGACCCGATGGTGCATGGTCCTTTTGGGTTGCCTTCACCAAAGCAACTTGATAGGATGAATTATGGAGAGAAAGGATTAAATATGATTTATTAATATATTAAAGGAGAAATCATATTGTTTGATTAATATTAGTCAAGAATTAATTAGTAATTAGTTTTGTGACTAAAAGAGATTAATTAAACTTAAGGGACTGGAATTGTAATTATAAGATAATTGCAATTTGGGCTATGGATTGTCTTAAATTAAGGAGTGGACGAATTCTATGGGGAAGCCCATAAGGAAATCGTCCAAGGCCTTAATTAAAGGAGTCCATGGGTTGCTTAGGGCTTAAGCATCAAAATTAGGGTTTCCTTGTTAGATAACCCTAATAGCCTCACTATATATAGAACCCTTAAGGCTCAAAAACGTGGGGAACTTCTCTTCTAGGGTTAGAACACGTTTTTAGGTAACCTCCATCCTCTCTCCTCTTCATCCTCTTGCTCTTGGTGTTTGTGAACCATTAGAGGAGTGACATTTGTGACTCTAAGCTTTCTAAAGTCAATACAAGGAGGAATTGAGATTGTTATTGCTACATAACAATCAAGGTAATATCTTAAACCTAATTATATGTTAATATCGATTTCCATATGTTAGAATTAGGGTTTATAGTCTTAGATAACTTGCATGTACAATAGAGAAACCTAGATCCAAGCATTAAGGTTTGTATGAGCACATAGGATGTTCTTATGACCAAAACCCATCAGTGGTATCAGAGCCTAGATTAGTTTCTATTGTATTGATGCCTTGTATGTTGAAAAAATTCGATTTTTGTGGTTCTGCATGATGGACTCGGCGAGTTGCCCCCCCTACTCGGTGAGTCCATGGGGGTACTCGGCGAGTTCGAGCGTCAGATGGAGCTATTTTCGGGATTTCTTGCTGTTTATCTTTGAGATACTTGCCTTTATCACATTAGATCAATATGAATCCGATTTTATGATATATATGACTATATTCTTGAGCTAATTGAAGATATTTATCAATTAATAAAATATTTGTTTCCTTATGTGATAATTGATTAATTATTTTGATTAAATTGGTAAATTGTTTTGCAAGAAATCATTAAATAAATCAAATATGAATAATTATGTAATTAAATGTTAATTTAGATTATTTGTTATTTGATCCTTGTGTTATGAAAAGTTTCATATTTTCCCATTTAGGTTTTATAGTTTAAATTTGAACTCAAAAGTTTTGTTGTTTTGAAATTTAAATAGTTAAAACCCTCATGTTTTGAAAAAGGTTTCAAAACTTGCCTTATATGCCGTATGTGCTAGATTAGGGCTGAGGATCTAGGAGGATGCCTTATATGCCGTATGTGCTTGTAGACTTGCATGCTAGTACTAATCAATCAGTGATATGATAGCTTGTTTAGGTTATGTCTGATTGTATGATCCTTTGAATTGCATGTACAGATTCTTGAGTAGAGGATAGAATGGTTTGATTAAAATGTGATGATTAGATTTTCCATTATCTGAATGATGTTTGCTTTGTGCTTTGTAGGATTATTAGTAATGTGAGCTAGCTATATTCATGAGATAGCTTGTTGACATTACTGGGAATCTTTTAGCAGCTGAGGACTGGGTGATTTAGGGAATCTAGGAAAACCTAGAGTATGTTTTTGTGGGTTAGTAGTGAGGTTTAGCGAGACTTGGGTGCATCAGTTTGAGGCAGTGACTTGGAGAATTTGTTAGGATTGTTGAGGAAAGTATGGATAAGTGTGGAAGGTAGTATTGGGCCCGTACTACTGATAGGAGTTTATGACCCGGTTTCGGGACAGAGGATGTTCCAATTGTTGTAGCTTAGCCATTGGAAAGTGAGTTAGTGAGCGTGACAGGGTGCCAGACCCTTAAGGATATGATTTCCAAGAGTTGCAGATGTGAGATTGATTTGGAGCACCCTGGGAAGAGAGGGTCATGCAAGTTACATATAGTAGGGGGTCCCGGGAAGAGATCCATGACTTCTGATCCTCATGTGAAAGGCCAGCAGGGCCGGAGTTAGTACTACACATACGGGAAAATGTACAAGGGAGTTTGTCGCTCCAAGGGTTTAGGCTGCTATAGGTGTGGTAGGGTTGATCATGTCTGCTGAAGGTTATCTGTATTCCTCCAGATGTTACGGGTATGTCATCTTCTACTGCTACTAGATGGATGTTGGGAATACGTATCCCTTTGGAATTGTGAGTGAGTTTGAATAATTCAGACCTCGAGTCAATTTTCTGCTAGTGTATGGGTTATCAAGGATCATATATGCCATCATGCATGCCGAGAAGTCCTTTATGAACCCACTGAGGGACGCATCTTGCAGAGTGGGTTCCGCATGTACCGTTATCATTCTGGATCTTTTTCGGGATCTGTGCAGGAGTATTAGTGAGAGGATATCCGACCAGGGATAGAGTGATAGTTCTTCAGTGAAGTTAGCGTTCAGTGGTTCTATCATGATCCAGGTATGGTCAACAATTGTCTATGGAAGAAATTTGGAAGCTCAAGGCACTACCGTTGCTAGGATAGGAATGGTAGCATAAAGAAGGTAACATTAGTTGCAGATGTTAGATGCATAAGTGGTTGGTCATTGGATGTTTAAGAGAATGGTAATTTTGCATGGGCTGTGTTCTGTTAGAGTACGATGCCATTGCAAGTGTGGAAGTAGGAAGGAGGACTCATCAGCCAGGGTGAAGATTAAGGCCTTCAGTTGACGACATGGGAAATGGACTGAGGTGCCAGACTCGACCATATTTCAAGAGTACTCTTCACGAGTTCAGAGGATGGAAGATCTTAAGGTTGAATGGTATTTGATCACCCTGGTCATCCTGGAAACACAAGTTACTCAACTGACAAACCCTCTGGTACTCCCTAAGTACTCATGCTGAACACCCTGGGGATTCATCCCTTCTTCCTTGTGCGATTTTCGGCCTTTCCAAGGCAACATTCCATAACCAACTACTTCCTCTGTCATTGTGAAGCTTCTATCCTTCACCAACTCCATCACCCCCGCTACTTCCAGTATGGTTCATTACCGCCAGTATCCACTGGACACTTCTTAACTCCACTGCCAATGACTGAAAATCTCTGTTGTCCCTTATCCGCCTTCCGGATGCACTGAGACCACCCTGGTCTAACTAATCTGCTGATATTTTGGTTACCGGACTCCCACTGATCACTACACCCCATCGCAACCTCCTAGTCGCTTCCAGCAACTTCTGAAGATACTTCAACTATCTATAACTGTTCTATCCACTTTGCCGCTCATACTGAATCGATGCTACTGGAACCAGCCTGCTTATCTCCCATCTGACTACTCAACTTCCACTAACTCGAGCCTTCCATCCTGAAAGAAAGGCTACCTGCCTAATTATCCTTGCAGATCACTTATACTTGGCAGAAGACTCAACTGATCCTGCTGAGAGGGACTTGCCATTTCCAAATCAACCAACTATACCGTCAACACTTGCATTCCAACACTCATACTAATACTGTCCATAACACTGAAACTACCCGAAACACTAAGCTGGCTACAATATTGAATTGCCTGAAACACTGAACTGACTGAAGCACTGAACTAGCTGAAACACTGATCTGGCTAAAGCACTGAACTGGCTAAAACACTGAACTGACTAAAGCACTGAACTGGCTGAAACACTAAACTAACTGAAGCAATGACCTGGCTGAAACATTGAACTGCTATATGGCTGCTTCCCAAAATATCTCAAGACCTTCCTGATCTCCAATCATTCGTCGGTTATCTGCAACACCGAGTTCCAACTCAACTGTGGAGCCCAAGGACTCATTACTTAGTCACTTCCACGACTTCTAAACGAAATCTTTCTCTGGAACTAGTTTCCACTAGTCATCCTGTCACTATGACCCTAACAACCTCCCGATCCAACTGACCGGGTCCATACGTCGAATCCTGACATCATCAAATCCAAGACTAAAAATGATGGCTCCCAGACTATCGGTAGTCCTTAACATACACGAACCCCAAACGGTCCATTACTTCCCTGATCTCATAACTGTGGTGACGATCCAATGACAAATCGCCGACTTAACCATAGTTGAACCATTTTGAAAATCCGACATCCAACCTGTGGATTCCCATATCCTCACTGTTGCACCCGAACTGGTGGGTACTACTGCTTCCCCCGTGTCCAAACAATGCGCTCATACTGAATACTAACCTAATGAATGCTCTAGCTACATCCGCAGACTTACAACTCCCTAATACTATCTTGCTACTAGTGAATGCTACGGCTACCCCCGCATACTTACAACACTCTACTACTATCTAACTGCTAGTGAATGCTACG